CTATGAGGAGGGATCAGTCCTTGGAGAAGGACGTCATGCTTGGGAGGGTGGAGGGACAGGGCAAGAGAGGTAGACCCTCCAAGAGATGGATTGATTCAGTGACTGGGCAATGGGGGGAGGTGTGTCAGACAATAAAATTGGCAAGGAGTAGAGCAGGGTTTAGGGCTTTGTACGTAGAGTCCCTATGAGTAGCAGGTGACTCGATGGCACATAACAAAATCAATAACCACCACCATCACCATGATGATGTGTTTTGGTACAGTGCAGAAGATTTTTGTTTCTTGAAACTGAAATGCAATCTGTATTGAAGATGATATATTTTTACCTTCTGCAGGAAGTGCTTCAAGTTCTTTTCAGTTTCAGCAAACAAAGTTGTGTCATCTGCATAATGTAGTTTGTTGATGAGTCTTCCTCTGATCCAGATGCCACATTCTAGTTCATTGAGTCCAGCATTTTTACCAATTTGATCATCATAGAGATTAAATAGGTATGGAGAAACAAAACAACTCTAATGCACACCTTTCTTAATTCTAAACCACATACTATTCCTTTGCTCTGCTTGCAAATAGCCTCTTGGTCTAGGTATATGTTTCAAATGAACATAATTAGGTGCCCATAGTCAGTATTAACCAAAATTTGTTAGGATCCATAGATCCATATAGTTAAATGCCTTTGCATAGTCAATAAAGCAAGTAAACATTCTTCTGGAATTATGTGCTTTCAACTAGGCTTGGTTTGACATCAGCAATGATATTCCTGGTGTCATGTCCTCTTCTAAACTTAGCTTGTACTTCTGAACTTCTCTATGTGCTGTTTTGGTCATTTTTGAATTATTTTCTACAATAGTTCACTTACATGTGATATTAATGATATTGTTTGATAATTTCCACATTTTGTTGGATCACCTTTCTTGAAAATAGAAAAAAATGTGGATTTCTTCCAGTCAGTAAGTCAGCAAGGCAGCTGTCCTCCAAATTTCCTGGTATAAACTGGTGAGGACATCCAGGGCTGCATGTTAGGTGAAACATGTTAAGTGGTATTCTGTCGATTCCCAGGGCCTTAATTTTTGCCCATGCCTTCATTACAGTGTCAACTTTTTCCTTCATTACCATTGGCTCTTGATCATATGGCTGTTGTTATGTGCCATCGAGTCATTTGCAACCCATAACGACTTTATGTACAAGAGCCCTAAATGCTGTGCTATCCTGTGCCAACCTCGCTGTCTCAAATACATTCATTCCCACCACTCCATTCACAGAATCGATCCATCTCATCGAGGGTCTTCCTCTCCTGCACCATCCCTCCACTCTCCCCAACATGATGTCCCTCTCCAAGGACCAGTCCCTCCTTGCAACATGCCCAAAGTATGTCAGACGAAGCTTCAGAATCCTTGACTCCA